AATAAAATCATGCAATTCTAAAAATAGATTATTATTAAATTTAAAATAATCTATTTTGATAATTGTATGTTTTCTTTAGCAACATCAGATATAATGGAGCGCACATTTAAAAAATTTTTATGTGCGCTGCAGCGCACCAAGTTCTATATGTAATATGCGCCCGCCCACAGCTTTGCTGCTGAATTTTAGACACTTTCAGAACTATAAGTTAATCCAAATAAATATTCTATATATTATGTAGGCATCTGGTTTTTCAAGAATTTAATCCGGTAAATTATAAGTTTAAAGGCACGAAGGCTGGTTTTTCCTTGGCATTACTTATACATTTGACCAATTAAATTGTTTAAATGAACAGGCGAATAAATTTTAGTATTATAAATGTTATTATATTCTTAAGCAGAAAGTTTTTTTTTAGATTGATTTGTTATGTCCTATAAAATTTTGTAGCCCTTAATGGCTGACCATATCCCAGAATTTCAAGATGAATCTGCACTTTCCCTTGGTCAATCTAAATCTAACCTTGGTGAATCAATCATTACTTTTTGCAATGTTATGATGGGTAATTTATTAATTATTACTAATTGGGTTTTGCCTTGAAAATGACCTTATGGGACATAGTAATTACTATGTTTTATAAGGCCATTTTCAAGGCTAAGGTCTCAATTATTTATAACTCGAGTTAAATGACTTTAATCTTGGCTCACCGAGTCGTAATCATCTTTAATTTTGATGTTATATTCGAATTTTATTTTAACGACTTGTTTTAGGCGTTGGAATCCTTTCATTACCTCTAGCATTTAAATATTCCGGATGGATTATTGGTCTATCATTATTTTTTTTCTGCACGATAGTTGCAAGTCATGGTGCAAGATTATTAATAAAATGTTTGAAGTATGAAAAAGGACTTCATACATATCCTGATATAGGTATTTCATATGTTTTTATCTACGTTTAATAACATTCAATTTTAATGAATATACAACCTGTAATAGCTGCGATAACATATGGAGAATTTGCAAAATCTGCTATATTTGCTTTACTCGCATTTGAAATATTTATAATTTTAATTATTTTAGTAAATATTATTGGTGATACTTTAAACACGCTATATCCTGACATGTCTATTGTATCTCTAAAAATTATTTCTTGGATAGTGTTAGTACCATTAACGTTAATTGATATAAAATATCTCTCATATGTATCATTTCTTGGAATATTATCGACAATATTTTTGGCATTAGTAATACTAATTAATGGGATTACAAACTATGAACAACCTGGAAGTTTACTCAATCCTGTGA